AAATGGTTTAAAGGGATTGTGGGAAAGTGAACATGAAATTTGAATTACTACTGATAAAGCACAGTTTGTGGTGGTCATGTGTTTTGCTGATTGACTGTAATGAAGTATTTTTGGAACATGGGAAAAAAGTACAAAGTATTTTTGTCTCCATAAATTAAATTAAAGTTCTAAATGTTGCATTGTTGTGGTGGTTTGTTTATCTTGACATTGACTCTCTGTTGCTGTGCCATCTAGTGGTGGGAAAACAAGATGTGGGATTAGAATCCAAACTGTTTTATTTCCATGTTAAATGCATTCAGTTGAGATTTGATCAGGTAAAGTTCCCAATTTTACATCTCCTTAAAATAAGGTGTTCCCTGCGGTTTTACATTTGTGACCTGAGCCTCTTGTATAAACCAGATCACGAGGAACCACAGGAGGTTCTGCCAAGTCAGGCTCAAGTGTTTAATGGCTCACTTTCCAGGTGTGCCACGCAACTACATAAATAAAGCTGGAGGTCACTGAACATTATCATGCTGCATCCATAAATAAAGCTGTACTTTCCCCTATGACTTGTGATTGGATTGTGGCCAATAGATGCGTGATGAATCCCCTTAAACCGATGCCAATTATGTACGTTTCTGTTGTTCCTCTGGGAATATCGCAGCAGTGAGTAAGATGGCAATTAGACATGAAGAACTCATCACATTTCCCTTGAGGTCGTGCAGTGGTAGTCCAAACAACTTGATTTCCTCTGTTAAAAGCTGTTCTGTTCATTTAGATAGGTGTCAGTTTGCTATTAAAGGGACAGTCTGTTACACAACACCTCATCAATAATCTCATAAAAACGCAATAGAACTTATAGTGTGTTATGAAGTATATATTAGACTGATGTCTGATTGGACATAGAAAAGCTGTATTACACTGTGTGTGGTAAATGACTGTGCAACATTGTGTTCAGTGTACCATAGATTATTACAACACTCTTTGGATCTTTTACAATAATAGTGTTCAATCAAAAAACTGTGGCACTCAAATTACCATTGCACCTCTCTGACGGCCTAATCAATAATTAAACACATTAATTTGGATAAACATACATTTTGCTTGCTACATGGATCATCTTACATATTTATTATAAAATATTGCTGGGAAGAAGTGAATGGATGAGGAAAATATTACAATATTTTTGCGGATGTAGATTTAGATATGGATGTTAAGAAAGTTCTGAAAGAAACTACTTATTAATTCCCTTCAGTATTTCTAGAAACTACTGTAGTGACAGTGACTAAATATAAGTATAGTATCATGTTGTAATTTATACATTTTTATAATAAATAATAAACATGCAATTAGTTTTATATTGTTTGAAATAAAGCTGTACAGGAACCAGATTTTTTAATAAAATGGTTTGTTTCTTAATTCATATTTTTAATCCTTTTAATATTTGTTTTGATCACTTTATGACATCAAAGCGAGCAGCCCAATTAAAACAGCTTTCATAATCAGCTTTTCAAAATGGAAACTTTGGCATAATTCACATACTTTCACATCACTAAGTTTGATTTTAAATAACCCACAAGAATGCTGAAAACTAAACTAACAATCTTACAGAATGTATCCAAAAATGTCCAAAAGTAAATATGTATGATATGTATCTTAATACAGCACTCCACGTTTAATTTAACATAGAGATCCTGTATAAGCTCTTTCAAAATATCATTGCTACTACAGTATTTTATTTATTTTTATTTATTTATTTATTTTTTGGTAATTTAGTATTATTTATTTAGATAATATCCATCAGGTCACTATAGAAAATTTATAATTGTTTCATGATATAAACTCAGACACAAAAATGTTTCATGCTTCATTTCATAAAAACAACAACAATTAAAAAAAAAAGTTGATTTAACTCATTTAATTTACAGTACAATGAACACTGGTTCTAACACTAGTGACATGCACGTGATTATATGGATTCAATTTTATTTCAATAAAACTTTCAATAATTTAATGCAAACATGTTCAAATCTATTTAAAAGAGACAAAATTTGTAATATGGCAGAAATTGTGAGAAAAGTGATGTCTTAACAAATATACAGTATAGTTTGACTGAATAGTACACTGTAAAAAATGACCGTGAATTTAACGGTAAAAGACTGTAAAAATGCTACAGTAAAAACCTGTTAAATGGTTAACGGTAAATTCCCCTACTATATAGGGTGAAAAACTGTATTGGACATTACATGTATTGGACATTAATTTTACGGTAGTATACCGTTTTTGGAAGTGAAAAAGACTGTATAATTTACAGTGAATAACCGTAAATTGACATTCCCAGAATTCCCTGCGTTACATTTCAAATTTTATGTTTTTTTGTTGAAATAACTGTTTCTTCTTAGTTTTTTTCTTATCAGTTTTGTATATTAGGGTTGTGTGTTAGACCTAATGTTGTTAAATGAATGTTTATTGCATTATTTCAGTTTCATGTGTGTTACCATGATGGTGTTTGGTGTTTGTGTGAATGACACTGTGCACCTTCTATATATGTTATTATTTAAAAGCTGCTTGTGTTGGACTTTGGTTTATCATGTGACTTTCTCATCACCACCTGCATTTGGTGGTTATCAGTGTATTACAAAGGTACAAAACAGATTTCAGTACTTCAATAGGTTGGTATATTAACATTATATCAGTTAATGAAATTATGGTATTTAACTGTAAATTTAAGTTAAAACCGTAAAACCTAAAACGTTGCTACCATATTTTTTACGGTAAAAAAACGGCAGCTGTGGTTGTTTTTTAATTTTACGGAATTTTTTTTACAGTGTACATCTACACAACTGAAGTTGTGTACACAACAAATATTTTGCTTTACAGAACTATATATACATACAGTATATAGTTCTATATATAATATGTCTCTCTATTTATCATCTATCTATCTATCTATCTATCTACATAAAAACTTCAAATAGTGAAAAAGAAGTGTGTTGCTCTATTGTCAAGATGAACTATTAAAAAGTTAGGCTGGTTGTGAAATGTGAATGAGTCATTATTATTTAAATCATACATGATTTCACATATTAACAATGATTTTCACATATAACAATGTTTATGAACTTTCACAGACTCGTATATCTTGGCATAATGGTGTTCATAAAGCGAACATGCACTAAATGGATTTGGATTAGCGCTCTGTCACAGTGTGTGACCCCTAAGACTCTCTGTGATTTGACCTGGATTTCTTTCTTTATGCCTCTTCCAGTTCTGCTGGCCTTATCTGACAAACAAGCCTGCTAATCTGATCACGCAAATCCCTCTCTACATCAATCTACAGCCCTGCTCAGTGCTCAGACCTGCAGGACGTGCCACTGTATGGCTGTGGCTCAAAACCAGTAAATGTTGGGGCTAATGTATTTAAAAAAAGAATATTTATGTATTCACTGAATTGTTCTCTTCCAGGGATTAAAGAGAACACCTTCAATGACCATCTTGTTGTCAAAGAGCAGTCAGAAACAAAATTGTTTTGATCTCAAATTTCATCCGCTATTTTCAGGTTTTTCCACAAGATTATTCAAATATCTGATGCAATGGTCTTGTTTATGGATTACTAGTTTATTGGAAGTTGATGTAAGATGCATATCTTTTAGATTATGCATAGCCTATGTGGATGTATATGTTTTGTAACTCATCAAACAGCATCGGGATGCACAATTTTAACACATTCAGGCTTCTAAGGCACTGACTCGGAACTACGGTCAACAATTGTGCAGAAAAACCCGCTGTTATGTTTCTGTTTGTTACGATTACAGTTAAATATTAGACCTGATCACAAAACAATAAAAAATGGCGGATCATTTCACGTGGTTTCATTACGACCTCTTATACTTTAAATTTACAATAATTTAAATTGTGATTTTGACAAATACCATACTGTGGCGGCCAAAATTATTAGAACTCTAGTATTTTCACCAGCTAAAAATGGTTTTAAGTCAGTTATTTCTATCTTTTGCTGTAGTGTGTCAGTATGAAATATCAGTTTACATTTCCAAACATTCATTTTGCCATTAATTATAATAATCCAGTGAGATTTTTGTCTGTCAACAACCAGTGCTCCACACAGAGATCTGATCTGATCATCATCATCCAGTCTGTCTGGAATGACATGAAGAAACAGAACAAACTGAGACAGATTAAATCCAGAAGAACTGTGGCAAAGTCAAGATGCTTCAAGAAACCTGCAAAGCTACCTGACAAACTATGTAGGGCAAAAGCTGCTTTAAACGCAAAGGATGGTCACACCAAATGTTGATTTAATTGAGTTAATAGAAGTTAACTGATAAAGAAAATCTATTTATGACATTATTTTGACAGCATCCTCATTTTACAGCATTTTTACACAAGTGCCTAAAACTTTTAACAGTACTGTAGCTTTGCAGGTAGGTTCCTTGAAGCATCTTGGAGACGTTACCACAGTTCTTCTGGATTTAGTCTGTCTCATTTTGTTCTGTTTCTTCATGTCATTCCAGACAGACTAAATCAGATCTCTGTGTGGAGCACTGGCTGCTGTCAGACTCCTTGTGCAAACAAAAATCTCACTGGATTATTACAATTAATGGAAAAATGAATGCTTGGAAATGTAAACTGATATTTCCTACCGACACGCTACAGCAAAATATATAAATAACTGATTTAAAACCATTTTTAGCTGGTGAAAATACTAGTGTTATAATAATTTTGGCCATCACTGTAGGCCTACGTCTTTTTTCCCCACAATCTGAATTGCTGTCGAGTTAATTGCAGTAAATCCGAGTTGAATTAAAAAGTAAGATAATAAATGTAGCTTTCCTGTTTTGCATAAAGCATACTTTGGCGTCTGGGAATATGAATTCTGGATCATGTATCTTCCGTAGTTTGATATAGTTTCTGTAGATATACGGAAGCAGAAAGCGTTCGGTTTGACTTTACGCCTCTTCTCAACTCCTCCCCGATTGCGACTATTGTAGCCAATCAGCAAAGCGTTGTGCGTTTAATGTCGAACGCATGGAAAGTGTCCGCATTAACGGATGTGATTTCAACTCATCCCCCTCTGCAACCGGCTCTGCTCGCCGTTCATGTCGATCACACCTCAACAGTTGGTTTCAACCACAGATTAAATGACCAACTTTCGGTTTGCTTGGATAACTTCCCCTTCACTATAGTCGACCATAAAATGAAATCTGGCGCTTTGAAAACGAGATCCTCTTACCTTGACGAATTTTTTTCGAACTTTTCATGAGATTGAACTTTAGATGACAAACAGTCTGAGGAAACGAGGGCGGACAAGAAGGACACATTATGGCAATATGCGGCAGACGGAGTCGGCCCAAGTTCATTCTGTACATTCTCGGGGCGTTTGTAGTGGGATATTTAGTGTTTCATAGGAACACACACAGTGATATCGGACTGGCGAGTCGAAGAGAAGTTCCAGTCGAGGAGCCCAAAAATGTGGACGAGGAATTTCTGAAGAAACCTGTTTACGAGAAGCCTCCTCTAAACATAAATGCGTTGGGAGAGATGGGTAGAGCTGTTAAACTGGACCTGACTGAAGAAGAGAAGCGAGAGGAGGAGGAGAGCATCAAAAAACATCAGATAAACACTTATGTGAGTGATAGGATATCATTACACCGCAGGCTGCCTGAAAGATGGAATCCACTGTAAGTGATGAAGTTTGTTTGATGTTTGTCAGATATCCAGCTCTAACAGATCATTTACTGTTTTTGGTATAATGTTGTTAAATGGGTTTGTTTGAATAGCATCAAAACGTAGAACAGGATATACATTATAGTTGATTAGTTTTAACCCGCCCCGATTTATTGCAAAGCATAGAAGTTGTAAATGTTTTGTAAACAGTCCCTATCTTACCCCAGTGCCTTTTGCTTATGCGTGATTAACGATAGGGACCGTCTACAAAGTATCAAAGGAGAAGGAAAACGTTCAATGTGGCGCTGTCACAGAGGTGCAGTTTGCAGTTGGCCTTACTCATAAATAATAATTTAAAAAATCAAAACCTTATCTAAAATCCCAAGGATATGTGTTAGTTTAATTGGTTATCTCAAGAAAATGCTGAAATTTTCAAATTTTCCTTTGTGGACACATTGACTAAAAATGAAGTCAAACAATAAACAGATGGCCCATTCCATATCCAAAAGGTGTGCGTTGTTATAGTTACCTAGAGAAACATTTGCAATTGGTTTTATTCTGATAGGTTAAAAAAATTATGTATAACGACAAGTCAAATATTACTTAAGTATTTTACTGTTTACTGTTTGTTATTTTCTTAAATTTTACTAGTTTTTAATGTGTTGTATTTATTGTTTGCATTATGTTTGTTTATTATATAACGACCATTAGGGTTGAATAGCCCATGATGTTTATTTTATTTATGTATTTTTAAGTTGCAATTAATATTTTATTTTATTTATTGTATGTGATATTTATCTTCTTTTTTTTTTTTTTTTTTACTGTACAGCACTTTGGTGCAGTTTTGCTTTATAAAGAGTTTAATTTGATTTTGATTTGATATTGTGCCATGTTTTGTAATGAGTTGTGGTTGCACGTGTCCCTTATTGCCAAATTTGTAATTGCCTATTGGGTATTAAGATCAAAGAATCCTGCATAGACACTGTGCATATTTAAATTAGTGTAATGCCACTGTAAACAAGAATGCAGACGATATAGCAAGCAAGGCATTATCTAACAAGATCTGTCTATACAGATGTAGAAACCTGAAATATGACTACCTGAGCCTGCCGTCGACATCAGTAGTGATAGCCTTTTACAATGAAGCCTGGTCCACACTACTGCGGACAGTGCACAGTGTCCTGGAAACCTCGCTGGACCTGCTGCTGACTGAAATCATACTGGTGGATGACTACAGTGACCGAGGTATCAGTCTGAATATAAACTTCTCATGCTAACTTTGAGCGCACGCTTATCATAAGATCATATGTGTTAACATACTAAAGGTATAGCTAATCTGTAATTATATGATACAACCTGTTTATGTAGAGAAAATCAAAATATAGCAAGGAGAAAAGATCCTATGTATTAAAACATTAAGGTCATATGTAACAAAATCATATTAGGTTAAGCTTGGTGCATTTTTGATTTGAGACACCTAGGAACCACCCACAACACTGTAACAACCACATTAGCAAATAAATATAGCTACCATATTCATAGCTACCATTGCTACCATAGAGTTTTGCATGTACAAACATCACTCCCATTTTCTTCAGAAAAATTTACAAATACTATACTGTTGTATGTCAATAGTCAAATGTTTGCTCATTTCTAACCAAACGATGACAAACAGATGCAAATAGATAATTTTTTAAACATTACTGATTATATATATATATATATATATATATAT